ATTGATAATTTTAAATTTTGGTTGAGCCATAGTGTACTATTTCCATCCAATAGTACACTTTGACTTACTTAAGAATTTAGAGAATAGTGAACCAAGTTTTTCCAAAATGTACTTATTCCATAATTTCCTACAGATGTTGAATAGTCAAATAGACCCAATGGCCAAAATTAAGTAGCCTTTTTTTGAATAAAGTATGATGGATGAAAATAGTTAAGTTGTAAAGTTTGTCTTCAAACATATTATTGCCAATACAAACATTTTACAGTTTTTGGATAGCATGGTACCAAATAACTAATAAATAATAACCTTAATGATAAAACAAACTTTTTTTTTTTACAATATTCCTTGTTAATCAGAATCTATGAATTCATTAATAAAGGTAAAAGGAGAAATTACTAAAATAAAACAAATAAAATAATTTAACAATATTAGATATTATCTTTATCTGTTTAAAATAAAATAAAATCAATACATTAAAAATGTTAAAAATAAAAAAAAACTATTTAGCCTCATTAATAATAGTAATGTAGTATAAAGTATAACAAATAAAATAAAATTAATAAACAATATCAAATAGGTATTACCCTATACCTATTTAAAATTCCAAGTACGAGTTAAGGTAGTTTAACCAAATAAAATGAATATAATTAAAATGTAACAAAAAAAAAAAAAAAATAATAAATTTTGCCTCATTTATAATAATATAATAGTAAATAAAATAATATTAGATATTATCTTTATCTGTTTAAAATAAAATAAAACCAATACATTAAAAATGTTAAAAATAAAAAACAATTTAGACTCATTAATAATGTTACAAATAAAAAACAATTTAGCCTCATTAATAATAGTAATGTAGTATAAAGTATATCAAATAGGTATTACCCTATACCTATTTAAAATACTAAGTACGAGTTAAGGTATTTTAACCAAATAAAATGAATATAATTTATTAAAATATAACAAAAAAAAAAAAAAAAAAAAAAATGTTGCCTTATTTATAATAATAAAATATTAAATAAAATAATACATTTATTAATATTATTAACAACTACATATTACCTATACCTATTTAAAATGTTGATTAATGTTTTTTTTTAATGATACAATGATTAGTCAGTCTTGATCTTCATTATATTCATCTAAAATATCTTCAACGTTTGATTCATAACTTTCTTTAAATATATCAGAATAAAATGTTTTTGCATCATCTGGTATTCTTGCATCATCTTTTAAGATTTTTTACATCTTTTTGTTTCAATACCTTTACATGATTTGTCTTAGATTCTATAAGATGTTGAGTCAATGTAGACAGATCTGAGTTTCTTTTTATCACTTCTATCTTGAATGGCAATCCACTATAGGTTGTTGAAATTCCAACAGTTTTGTCACCTTTAATATATGTAAAAATCTTTTGTTGTGTTGATTTAAAATCAGTTTTGCATTTTACCAATTTATTTACTGCTGTTTTATAATAATAAAATAAAAAGTCCTTGTTGTATACTTTAATAGAACACAATTTCTCAAATACCTCATGATATTGTTTAGGGGATACAATATCCTCTTTTTTCCTCAAAATTTGTTCTATTTGTCCAAAAACTCTATCTGGTGGCATATAACTATGGCCTCGTGTAGGGAAGAAATGATTGATTTTTTTAAATATGGTAGCTTTGAAGTTTATATAATGTAGTAAGGTAACCATTGTAAATTGATTTTTATTTTGTCCCGAACAAGAGTCGGAAAATAAATTAAGCGTAGTTGGGGGTGATTAATCATTAACGTTTTTCCTTAATTTTTATGTTGTTTTTCCCGGCGCTTGTGAAAACTACTGGGAAATTTATACTTTTGACCCCCCCAAAGTACCAACTAGATTCACTTTCCTATCAGAAAAGCTACTGATGAAGAAAATCCAAGCACTTTTACTGTCCTAAAACGTGATGACAGACACAAAAATAACAAAATATAAAAATATAAAAAAAAAAAAACACACATCATTGTAAAACCAATACATTCATCGCTCCGCTCAGAATCTAAAATAAACAAAAACCAATTATCGATATTATGATTTTATGTGATGTGGGCCTGAAATTTTACCAGTATTCACTATTCAGTTGTGAACTTTTGGTTGTACACGAACGACAAGTTTATAATTTATTAAAATACTGGGTGATTCTTTTATCATTGAACACTCATTATTTCAAAAAGTATTAATGTTTCATAAAATATTTTTTTACATAGTTTCAAGTTGTTAAAAAACAATATTTTTATTAAAAAATTATATTTTTAAATATTTTTTATCCTTTTAATTTTTTAAGTTTTTTACTTTTTTGAATGACAACATGTAATTTTAATTTGTTATTCAAAAACAGAATATTTTTCTGAGTATTTCGATACATAAAAATTGAATTTAGGGCAATAAGTTTATGAGTTATAAGTATTGAAAGTTTAGATGAGCGGAGTAGTGGACAAACATTTCGCGGGGTAACCCCGTACCACTCTACTCCGCTCATCTAAACTTTAAATACTTATAACTCATAAACTAATTGCCCTAAATTCAATTTTATGTATCGAAATACTCAGAAAAATATTCTGTTTTTGAATATCAAATTAAAATTACATTTGTCATTCAAAAAAGTAAAAAACTTAAAAAATTAAAAGGATAAAAAATATTTAAAAATATAATTTTTTAATAAAATTATTGTTTTTTAACAACTTGAAACTATGTAAAAAAATATTTTCTTAAACATTAATACTCTTTGAAATAATGAGTGTTCAATGATAAAAAAATCACCCTGTATACCTAATAATCAAAAATACTTACTCATCATATTCGACAATTTGAATCAAAATAAGGGCATTTGCATAATGTAAGTAACAACTAATATTGAAGTGAAATAGTTGTTTAATTATTTTGAATTGGTTCTTATTATTCAATGTCTTTCAGATTTTCGTCATGACTGAAACGGAAATAACATTACGATGGCCATTCTTAAACGAATACTTTGAACAATTAGAAAGCAAAGATGATGGGCTAAATGTATATTTCAAGTGCATTTTATGCAAACCAAAAAATTAAAAGATTTCTACTTCCCAAACATCCAACTCAAATTTAAGTAGACATATTAAAGTACGTTAAGTATTCATCAATTATAAAAATATTTAGTTGTTAAATATAAAATAATCATTAATTAATAATTATAGCCTATAGGTACTTAATTTGAATAAGTGTATATGAAATTTATAAGAATATGGTAAACACATTTTAAATTTGTTTAGGTACCTATTTATAAAAAGAAATAATCATTTTTCATTTTTCTTTAAGTATTGTTATAATAGATGAAATTTAATAGACGTGTGCCGCAAACTGTATAATACTGCCCATATACGGCATATACTACGACATAACTTTTTACTTTCCCTGTAACCTACTTAAGGTGGTGTTGCATAGCAAGTCGGGGGATATTTTCGATTTGCGGAGCGCAGCGACGGCGCTGAGTAGCGCAGCGACGAGTGACGCAAACTGTGTAATCACTGTTGAAGTCCTCCGCGCGGTAATATAGTAGGTAGTGTTGCGCGCATGCATATAAACGAAAATTGAGGGGCGACATTCCATAATGTACTATTGCCACTTTTCATAATGTTCAGGAATCACGATTTTCTATTGTATACTGATATTAAACAGTAGAAAAAAGGTAAAATATGTTAAAAATTCAGAAAAATATACTTATTATACTTCTCAAGTCAAAATTACCTTAATATTATTATTTTACTATTTTAATTGATAATTTTAAATTTTGGTTGAGCCATAGTGTACTATTTCCATCCAATAGTACACTTTGACTTACTTAAGAATTTAGAGAATAGTGAACCAAGTTTTTCCAAAATGTACTTATTCCATAATTTCCTACAGATGTTGAATAGTCAAATAGACCCAATGGCCAAAATTAAGTAGCCTTTTTTTGAATAAAGTATGATGGATGAAAATAGTTAAGTTGTAAAGTTTGTCTTCAAACATATTATTGCCAATACAAACATTTTACAGTTTTTGGATAGCATGGTACCAAATAACTAATAAATAATAACCTTAATGATAAAACAAACTTTTTTTTTTTACAATATTCCTTGTTAATCAGAATCTATGAATTCATTAATAAAGGTAAAAGGAGAAATTACTAAAATAAAACAAATAAAATAATTTAACAATATTAGATATTATCTTTATCTGTTTAAAATAAAATAAAATCAATACATTAAAAATGTTAAAAATAAAAAAAAACTATTTAGCCTCATTAATAATAGTAATGTAGTATAAAGTATAACAAATAAAATAAAATTAATAAACAATATCAAATAGGTATTACCCTATACCTATTTAAAATTCCAAGTACGAGTTAAGGTAGTTTAACCAAATAAAATGAATATAATTAAAATGTAACAAAAAAAAAAAAAAAATAATAAATTTTGCCTCATTTATAATAATATAATAGTAAATAAAATAATATTAGATATTATCTTTATCTGTTTAAAATAAAATAAAACCAATACATTAAAAATGTTAAAAATAAAAAACAATTTAGACTCATTAATAATGTTACAAATAAAAAACAATTTAGCCTCATTAATAATAGTAATGTAGTATAAAGTATATCAAATAGGTATTACCCTATACCTATTTAAAATACTAAGTACGAGTTAAGGTATTTTAACCAAATAAAATGAATATAATTTATTAAAATATAACAAAAAAAAAAAAAAAAAAAAATGTTGCCTTATTTATAATAATAAAATATTAAATAAAATAATACATTTATTAATATTATTAACAACTACATATTACCTATACCTATTTAAAATGTTGATTAATGTTTTTTTTTAATGATACAATGATTAGTCAGTCTTGATCTTCATTATATTCATCTAAAATATCTTCAACGTTTGATTCATAACTTTCTTTAAATATATCAGAATAAAATGTTTTTGCATCATCTGGTATTCTTGCATCATCTTTTAAGATTTTTTACATCTTTTTGTTTCAATACCTTTACATGATTTGTCTTAGATTCTATAAGATGTTGAGTCAATGTAGACAGATCTGAGTTTCTTTTTATCACTTCTATCTTGAATGGCAATCCACTATAGGTTGTTGAAATTCCAACAGTTTTGTCACCTTTAATATATGTAAAAATCTTTTGTTGTGTTGATTTAAAATCAGTTTTGCATTTTACCAATTTATTTACTGCTGTTTTATAATCATAAAATAAAAAGTCCTTGTTGTATACTTTAATAGAACACAATTTCTCAAATACCTCATGATATTGTTTAGGGGATACAATATCCTCTTTTTTCCTCAAAATTTGTTCTATTTGTCCAAAAACTCTATCTGGTGGCATATAACTATGGCCTCGTGTAGGGAAGAAATGATTGATTTTTTTAAATATGGTAGCTTTGAAGTTTATATAATGTAGTAAGGTAACCATTGTAAATTGATTTTTATTTTGTCCCGAACAAGAGTCGGAAAATAAATTAAGCGTAGTTGGGGGTGATTAATCATTAACGTTTTTCCTTAATTTTTATGTTGTTTTTCCCGGCGCTTGTGAAAACTACTGGGAAATTTATACTTTTGACCCCCCCAAAGTACCAACTAGATTCACTTTCCTATCAGAAAAGCTACTGATGAAGAAAATCCAAGCACTTTTACTGTCCTAAAACGTGATGACAGACACAAAAATAACAAAATATAAAAATATAAAAAAAAAAAAAACACACATCATTGTAAAACCAATACATTCATCGCTCCGCTCAGAATCTAAAATAAACAAAAACCAATTATCGATATTATGATTTTATGTGATGTGGGCCTGAAATTTTACCAGTATTCACTATTCAGTTGTGAACTTTTGGTTGTACACGAACGACAAGTTTATAATTTATTAAAATACTGGGTGATTCTTTTATCATTGAACACTCATTATTTCAAAAAGTATTAATGTTTCATAAAATATTTTTTTACATAGTTTCAAGTTGTTAAAAAACAATATTTTTATTAAAAAATTATATTTTTAAATATTTTTTATCCTTTTAATTTTTAAGTTTTTTACTTTTTTGAATGACAACATGTAATTTTAATTTGTTATTCAAAAACAGAATATTTTTCTGAGTATTTCGATACATAAAAATTGAATTTAGGGCAATAAGTTTATGAGTTATAAGTATTGAAAGTTTAGATGAGCGGAGTAGTGGACAAACATTTCGCGGGGTAACCCCGTACCACTCTACTCCGCTCATCTAAACTTTAAATACTTATAACTCATAAACTAATTGCCCTAAATTCAATTTTATGTATCGAAATACTCAGAAAAATATTCTGTTTTTGAATATCAAATTAAAATTACATTTGTCATTCAAAAAAGTAAAAAACTTAAAAAATTAAAAGGATAAAAAATATTTAAAAATATAATTTTTTAATAAAATTATTGTTTTTTAACAACTTGAAACTATGTAAAAAAATATTTTCTTAAACATTAATACTCTTTGAAATAATGAGTGTTCAATGATAAAAAAATCACCCTGTATACCTAATAATCAAAAATACTTACTCATCATATTCGACAATTTGAATCAAAATAAGGGCATTTGCATAATGTAAGTAACAACTAATATTGAAGTGAAATAGTTGTTTAATTATTTTGAATTGGTTCTTATTATTCAATGTCTTTCAGATTTTCGTCATGACTGAAACGGAAATAACATTACGATGGCCATTCTTAAACGAATACTTTGAACAATTAGAAAGCAAAGATGATGGGCTAAATGTATATTTCAAGTGCATTTTATGCAAACCAAAAAATTAAAAGATTTCTACTTCCCAAACATCCAACTCAAATTTAAGTAGACATATTAAAGTACGTTAAGTATTCATCAATTATAAAAATATTTAGTTGTTAAATATAAAATAATCATTAATTAATAATTATAGCCTATAGGTACTTAATTTGAATAAGTGTATATGAAATTTATAAGAATATGGTAAACACATTTTAAATTTGTTTAGGTACCTATTTATAAAAAGAAATAATCATTTTTCATTTTTCTTTAAGTATTGTTATAATAGATGAAATTTAATAGAACACATGAAAAAATTGTAGATATATTCTAGAAATCCAGAATTAAAACGATTAACAAGTTCAGAAGAGACTTTTGGAACTCCAAAATATTCTAGTCAAAATTCAACAAGTAATTCTCCATTACCTAAAAATATTATAAACTTAGGTCCTATTGCATCAAAATATTTAAAAACTGTAAAAGATACTAATTCTTTTGGAATATATCTTAATGAGAAAGATGATATTTATATGATTGGAAAAGATATAAATCTTGATAATGATGATATAATTTTAAATGAAAAAAGATATATAGGAACACCAGGTTTATGGAGATTATTAACTCATCAAGTTCCTACACCCAAACAATTTTATAATGATGATGAATTTAATATTTATAAAAATATATTATTTGAAACTAATTCTATATATCAAAACAATGATCCTTCAACGAAAAGAGCTAAATCAAGTCGTAGTGAAAAATATAAGGTTATGATTAGTTCGATTTGGAAAGAAATGACAGAAACAACTGATAAGAAAAAAAATAATAGAAAGAAAGAAAATAATGAAGATAATGAAATTATTGAAAAAAAAGAAAATAATGAAATATTAGTTGAAGATAATCAAATAGGGGAGGGTTTAAAGAAATACACAGAAAATCGTATTGAATATCGTTATATTAGTAATGTAAACCAAGTGATGGATAATTTACAGTTTATTTCTTCAGAAGAAAGAGCTGGAAATAATAATTTTAAAAACGAAAAACTTGGTATTGTTCATTTATTTAAATCAATTATGGAAAATCTTATTGATACTCCTGAAGGTATTGAATATTTACTAAAATATGTAACTTGTTTACCAAAGGAAGTGAAAATATCAAAAGAAAAAATAATTAAACGTATACAGTATATATCAATTGAAGAAAGTATAGCTAATGATTTAATAAATACAACCGGTACTTATTTTTTCAAATATCTCCATGATATTTGTGTTGTTCAAGATTTAGGAAACATTAAAATATGTTGTTTTGGTATGGGAGGTACAGATTCCGATCACAAAATGCTTAGAATATAACTATATTATTAATTTAATTTTTAATAGAATTGTTCTATTAAAAAATAAAAATAACATATTTAATTGCAAAATGTATTAAAAAGAAATTGAAAAAAATTAATTTAAAAATTAAAAATATTATAAATAATAAAATAATGGAAACAACAATAAACGGTTTTAACAAATTACAAAAAAATGAAATGAAAAAAGAAATAGAAAAATCAATATTAAATAATGAAATCTTTGTTAAATTTCATAAATATGAATACTATAAAAATAATAATATTAAAATAATGAAATATAATCTAAATAAAATTCCAATTAAAGGAAATATTTTAATTGTCGATTATTGTCGCAATATTTGTGGAGATGGAAATGGAAAGCCTTATGCTTCTAAAATACTAGAATCGCCAACATGGCTTGAAATTTGTAAAATAGCTAATGATTTAATAATTACAACAGGTAAATTTTCAGAAATTTATCTCTATGATATTATTGTTCATCAAGATTTAGGAAATATTAAAATATGTACCCTTATTATGGAGTCGACTTTATTAGACCATTTATTAATTTAATTTTTTAATAGAATTGTTCTATTAAAAAATGTTCAATATTTAACGCGTGTCCCATTCGGACACGCGTTATTAAAATCCAAAAATCTTTAAAAACGATTTTACACTATGATACTTAGAGGGGGACTTATAAAGAATTAAAATCAAAAATGTTTAATGTAAAAATGAAGATTCTAACATAAAAAGCAACGGAGTTATACTTAAATGAAAAATATGAAGCGGGGGGTAAACTTTTAATATGTAGTGTAGATAAGTATATAAAACATATCTGTGTTGTTCCGACTTGATAATATCAAATATTAAATGAAATATAGGACTTGTAATATTTAACAAGGTCAAATTATATGACCGTGTAATAATAATTTAAATCGAAAAAAAAAAATAGAAAAAATTTGCAAAAGTAGCCCCATTGTACAGACATCGGTTTTTTATTTTTATTTTTTTATTTTTATTTTTATTTTTTTTTTTTTTGACATCTGTACAACAGGGGGCTACTGAGATATGTAGCCTTCATCGTATCACAACACAATGAGGAGACGTTATATGTAGACTCCAGGGACCAGTGAGGAGAACCTTATCTATGATATCACAGGTAACACTAGTGTCTTAAATCCGACTATACTCAACATATAATCGAACAAGCCACATGTCGTGTGTAGAGCTGAAAATACCACAAATAAAATCCCACCCAGCCAGTATCGAACCTACAACTGTATGCATACAAAGCCTAACATCTCCCCACTGCGCCACGACACTCGGGCATGTATAATAGTATAACAAACACTATTTAAATAGTATTAAGCTAGTATAATTATATCACACTGTATACTATAATATAGTAACGTTGTATAGTTGTCAGTAGATAAGCTATTCAATACCGGATGTTAAAAAAATAATCATTCTAGCTGCATATTATTATTATTATTATTATTATTATTATTATTATTATTATTATTCGAATCATGTAATACCTCTTGTATTAATTTACGTAGTTCGTTTAGTGAAAGTTTAATTTTACTAATATATTTGTTATTAATAGATCTTAAAATAGCTTCTAAACAACAATTATTAATTAAATGAAAGTTAAATGATTTTAATTGATTATATTTTAAAAAATTTTCGAAACAACATTCATCCATTTCATGATCCCATAACTTATTACTAATATCACTATCACTATAAATATCAATATCAATGACACTATCATTAAATATAGACCATAGGATATTACGTTGTTCTTCAATCAAATTTAAAAGTGATTCCAATTTTTTATTTACCATTTCTATTATTTATTATAATAGAAATATATTTTTTTAACATCGAAATATTAAAACATACATATGAGTACAACAACAACTATTATGTATGTTACTACGTAATATACTAAAATATATAAATATATAATACTTACGAAGTATAATATTAATATTCAGTCTAGCTCCATATTATTATTATTATTATTCGAATCATATAACTCCTCTTCTATTATATCACGTAGTTTGTTTAGTGAAATTAAAATTTTACTAATATATTTGTCATTAATAAATCTTAAAATAGCTTCTAAACAACAATTATTAATCAAATGAAAGTGAAATGATTTTAATTGATTATGTTTTTTGTAATAATCATATTTTGCAACATTTTCGTAACAACAATTATCCATTT